GATAACAAAATGATTCAAGAGGCTTTTCTTTGCACAGTTAAGAGATGCTGCAAGGCCTGGCAACAAGCGATTACTGAGACATTTGTAAACACGGAAATGGATTTCCTGTTCACTGTGAAGAACGACTTTTTGTTTGTGCATTAATGTTTAAATAAATCAATCAGAGGCATGCTTTTAATGGATTACAGCAGATCGAAGTACCGGCTTCATGAGAACCATTTTAGCACAGCAAAGTAATAAAAACGATATTTTATCTATTTATTTTGTCAGGCTTGACTGTGATGAAGAGTGTGCCACTCTGGAGAGGAACAGGCGTTTGGCCGAGGCGTTGCAGATCGACTCGTCTTCTGACCCCTTCCATGTTCGCTCTCCCTCTGTATACAGCGACAGCCTCAAAGACGACGCCAGGTCTGCCTCTCTCTACTCTGATTGTTTTCATCTCAGCAAGTTACTGAAAGCTCCCTTAACACGTTTTCTGTTCGGTCTCTCTTTCAGAAAAGACCTGAAATTTGTCAGTGAGGTCGAGGAGGAGATCAAGAATCTTATCGAGCTGGTAAATAAGGTAAGATGGTGGAAGTTATCCTGGTTGTATAGCGATGACGCATAATGTGGCCTCTTGTGATGAAGTGCTCCCTCTTGTGGCGGTGGTGTTGTTGATGGGGGACAATGACTGAGGGACGTCTGATAACATGCACTCACATTAATGCATCGATGCTTGTAACATATTGGATATCAGACTAAAGGCACCGAACCACATCACTGATCAAGAAAGATCGTTGGGCACATTGTCATCTCGCACCGTCTCGCTGTGAGGACATTCAGACTGAAATGTGAGAAGAGCCCTCAATTCGTCTCCATGACGACGTTCAGACGAGATGGAACAGCTCCTTAATCAAAAGTGCAATTCTTACACAATAAGATTTAATTTGAAAACCTGACGGTTGTTGCTGCTTCCAGTTTGTATGTGAAGCCAGCGCAATGCAATGCCGGGTTTACTACACAACAACAATAAGACTATTAATTATGATTTAAATGTAAAAATGTGGATCGGTGCATCTCTACTAACAACAAGAGTCAATGCAGGAAAAGAAGCTCCCTGATTAGATATTAATGAGTAACTCTACACCACAATGGACACTACGCTTGTGTCATCTTACAACCCAGTTCTTTTTCATTCTGATGTTTTTGATTTCTCCAGCCACACAGAATTAGCTTCGGTCTGTTATAGATCGCTGACCAGACGTCACAGCATCTTTTAGGAATCATTTCAAACCCAGACTAAATGAGTAGACGACTCGAGACAGAGAAAATAGCCTCCATGTTTTTATTTTCAGCTTTGTCCCATGCATTGTTGTATCAGGAGTGAAGCTGTCGAGGTCACCGTTGCAAGATGTAAAGAACTGATTATCACCAGCTGAAGCTTTTTTTTTCTTTTCTTTTTTACAGTGAATTGTTGTAGCAGAGCTTTTCTGCCTCTTGATTCTGCTTATGAAAGGTTTTATCATATTTAAAACCATCTTACATGTGCTGCGTACTGCGCTGCCTCGCTGTCCTCACTTTGTTTTCTTCTCTTTACCTTCCTGTGTGGGCTTTTATTTGCCCAAACTCAAGTTATTAAATCTCTGTTGATATTTTTCTATTTTCTAACCCGCTTCTGGCAGAGAAAGGTCGGCTGCTTCCTTTCAAGTTCTGTTTTTCCAACCCAATAAAAAAAAAAAAATGAACAACAGGGCAATCATGCTTTTGTGGAAAAGGGCCACACATACACTACATGTTTAAAATTATGTGAATGCCTGAAAGACTGCAAGATCCTGCACTTCACCACATCTTGATTGGATGACTGCCTTTTTTTTTGCCATCTCATTTGGATCAGAGATTTTAGCCACAGAGCTCAGAGGTTAGCAAACATTGTCCTGTTTTCTGAAACTCCCGCCCCCGGGTCCGTCCAACAGGGAAAAGTTGACGTTCTGAAGGACACGCGTGAACAGCTTTTGAAAATATCAGTTCCAGGCTGTCCTGACATTTTCCTGCGGGCTTGTGTGAAAACAGCTAAACAAAGCTGCCTTTTTTGTTTTAAGAATTCAAGACTGTTCATAATTGAAAACACCAGATCCAGAAGTTGCCATCATGTACAGTTTTTGAAAGCTTGGGTGGGATGAAGGCTTTTAAAGTCTCTCCACAAAAACTCTTAATCCACAACTATCACTGATGTCTGCAGGGAAAACAGCCGAAGAGAAGCCACTGCTTCAGACCCATGAACAGAGACCACCGCAGGATCATCCACGAGCTGGCCGAGGTCTACTGCGTGGAGAGCCAGAGCTACGACAACGAGCCCAAAAACGTGGTCATCACTGCTCAAAAGTAAGAAAGAAAAAAAAAAACTACATTTAAGCTGTTTGCAAATCATGCAGCCTGGAGACCTTTCATAACAAATCAAAGTTAACTGTGACATGAAATGATGTGCGTTCATTCTCAGGGGAAAGTCGGTCTGCCCAAACTCCAGCCTGACATCACTGATAGAGCGAGAGACGGCTGCGAGGGCCCCACCTCCCATCGCTCACATCAAACAGCACAGCAGCAAGTAAATCTGTCTTCTGTGGCTCAAGCGATTCCTTAAACATCACATTATATTATCACATTTTACACTCTGCTCAATATCTAGCTTTCAGATTTCACCGCCTGCTTTTGACTCTTTTATCTTCTCCATTCTCCCCGTAGGCCTGCCACTGGAAGCTGGTCGAAGGTGGTCAAAGAAGAACCTGTAATCGATTACTTTGATGTCCAGGACTGACATTAGGCTCAAAATATCAGAGAGCAAACTCAGGATCCTTTCACATTTACATCTGCCAAAATCTTCTTAACAACCTCCTTTCATTTGTGTTTAGCAGAGATCAATAAGAATCCCTCTGGCTTCGTAATCAAATAAGATTATGCCTTGAAATATCTCTGAGATGTGATTGCCTCCAGGGAACGCCCACACTCGTTTTTGTTTTTTTTTCCAAGAAGGAGGAACTTAGTAAGTCAAGAGTCAAGTGCTCCCTTTGAATATAGACATAAAAGTCTCACACAGAATCTGCAGATGGATCACTTTCAAAAGCTTTTGATTGTTTTCTTTGCCTCCTTTGTATGCAGCCAGACCCTTGTTGAACCCATCTTAATAAAAAAGTCAATTTCTCCCTATTTGAAGGGTTCCGCTTTTTGATGCATTTCTTCTTCGGATTCACTAATCGATGACTGCTCATTATGAAAAATAAATGAGCGCAGCTTCAGATTGAGCTCTCTGGCTTAGATTCTTAAACGGTGTGCCAGAAACATTTTCCATGTTTCCTTCTTCGTGTTGGTTTTGAGCCAAACGCTTCAGTAGAAACCCTCTGAGTCTGTGGGTGGGTACAGTCCAGTAGGAGTGGGCTGCACTGCGGAAACAGAGCTTTGTTCGAAACACGGCTATGACCCAGATGTTGAGCTGCTCTTTCTGAGAACTGCTCCCCAGGAAAACCTGCAGGAATATCTGAGCTCCCGTAAAGGACTTCTGGACAAATAGGTACACGTCTACTTCAAGGACACATAAAAAAAAAAGAAAAAAAAGGAGACATTGGTCGAATGTTCATTTTGTAGATGGATGGTTACGGTCACATTGCTGCAAAGAATTGAGGTGCTGACACAAGTTTGTATTTAATATGTTATTGATTTTTGTTGTTATATTATCTAACTATCAGCAAAATTTCAGCACACACACTTTGGCTCAAGGTGTGTGCATCTTTAATATAGAGGCAACAACTCCTTGTTTTTATACATATTTAAGTATATTATGCAAAAGAAGTGGATGGCTTTAAGTTCAGATAGAAGTTACATGTTAAAGTAAGTCAAAGTCGCTCATACTTAGCGATGGTTTATTGTTTTGTTTTTTAAGATTTATACATCAGCTCAGTTTGTTTTTTAAGATCTTTTTTAGGCCTTCTTTTGCCTTTATTGGATAGGACAGCTGAAGAGAGAGAGGAAATAATGGGATATTGAGTGGGGGATGACATGTAGCAAGTGCCGAGGTCAGATTCAAACCCGCAGTCGCTGCAACGAGGACTACAGCTTCTGTACATGGGGCGCGCAACATACCCGCTTGGCTGCCAGTTTTTGAGCCTTTGAGCATGATGCATTTTTTTTTTTTTTTTGTCCCAGTATGTTGCCACATCGAAGAAAATCTGCCACATCATCAGCTCTTCACTTCATTTTGCAGGGCTAAACCAACACACACACAGCTGAGCAAATGAGCTTAATGCAGTTTTTACATAAAGCAAGCTGGGAAGACATTCTTATACCCTATAAAGGAATACTGCTTTAAAATGTTGGTAACCAGATGAATTGTCCTTAATTCACAATCCAGCAACCACAACTATTCCCTGATAATGACTAATACCTGCACTTAATAAAAAAGTAAATTTAAGGATGTGTAGCTACAATTTACAAGTGTTTATTAAAGGGACTTATTTGGGAAACAAAGGGGCCGCAACAAATTTTTTAAAAATCTTTGTCATGTGTTTTTTTTCTTCTTGTGTCCATAAAATGTCAAAACACTAAAAGCTAAGAAGTTTCACAGGGTTTCCCAAAGAACAAGAAGAGAGCCTGAAATCTCTCACTCAACATGGCCAAATTCAAACAGGCTTTATCTATCCAACTCAAAGTGAAGTGTAGAAAATTCAGCTGAAGTTTAAAAAAAAAAAAAAAACTGTCAGTGAAACCAATAAATCAGATATCAAAATAGTTCAAAAGATTTATGTAAATGGTTACACTGGTTTGGTTAGGGCTTACTGTTAAACTGTTTTAGTGCATCATGCGGAGGCCTTCCATTTAAAAAATAAAATGTGTTTCAGTGCAGATATATTTACACTCTTTGCTAAACTGAAAATATCTTCTCGTTATCATTTTACACTCTTGTTAAACCCTCCACCGGACAGTTTTGCCCCCATCCCCCCCTCCTCCCCCCCACAAAAAAAAAAACCGCTCATGAGGATAATTTGATGACACTCCCTGCCACTGGTAATTTGTCATTATATCGACTCTCCAGCAGAGACCGCGCCTGCGCTCCTGCTCCCTTCCGAAGGCTTCACCAATCCTGGCTCTGGCTCCATCCCCGGCTCGGCGTCTCACAGGCCAGTGCTAATAAGTCGCCTAGCTGTCCGGTAATGGGGAAGTGTTAGGGAGCCGCTGCTGTCCAAAAGAAGCCGAGAGGAAGTTGAGGAGTGACGGGAAGCTGTGCGCTGCGCCGGACCGGACACCTCCAACAGAGACGCCTCCTACAGTTGCTGTTGTTGAGAAGCCTAAAAAAAAAAAAAGAAGAAGCGGAGAGTGATGGAGAGAAAGGTATGGATGCTTATGCTACCCTGTGTTACATTAGCACGTTTGTTTTTTTACCACATCACTTTGCCTCGCTTCAGCCTGGATCCGCATCCACCATTAAAACTATTCTTTATATATTTTCTTTATCCTGTGGGCGCGTTGCCAGCCGGATTAGTGCGCACTGGAGTTTTTTTTTTTTTTTCTTGTCTAGCTGTAATTTATTGTGCATGTGAAGAAGAAGAAGAAGAAGAAAAAAAAAACAGCTGCCTGGATTAATTCCCTCTTCATTGTGCATTCAGGCTCATTCCGGGGTGTACAGTCGCATGGTGCACAATGTATCCGAGATTATAGAGCAGGGGAGTGGGATGTGGTTGGGAATATTTAAGGGGACTGTAGCCTACAGTAGCTCCTCTCTCTCTCTCTCTCTCTCTCTCTCTCTCTCTCTCAGTCTGTCTGCATCATCACACAGCACACTGTATAGTTGCAGCACCTCACCCCTCCACCTCCACCTCCACCTCCCACCCCTCCCCGTTTTCCAGCCGACGCACGCAGACACCAGCGCGGCTTGTTAACCTTGACTCGTGTGGGAAACAGACACTTGAGGAGTAATACAAGGAGGGGATGCACGGTGAAGCCCTGACGACAGAGCATTCAGCCCATCCTCTTACCTCCTTACGCATGCAATTACTCCATAGCCTACCCCCTTTTTCTCCCCCCCCCCCCCCCCCCCACCTCCCCTTTCTTTGATTTAAGGCGCACACTACAGGCATCCCCTCATGTAGGTCTGTTAGTGCCCCCCATAAGTCTGTAACTGTGTTTTTGGATCATGCAGAAGGAAAAAAGTTTCAGTTTCACTGTTGTAATCTGCAGGCAGGCTGTGGGTGCACACAGCACAGGAATTTTTTTCGGGGTGTCCAGTTTGAGCCAGATCTACTTTTGCTGACCCAGAGGAAAATCTAAATGTTATATCCCCCCCGCTGTAGCTTGCAGTTTATTCGCTGCTTTCTGAGTGTTTCCAGAGACTATCATTTCACACAGAGAAAGCTCTCGTAAAATATTAGTTATAATTTGGGGTAAAATGCCTTTTTTTTATGGTGTTTATGCCACATTCATAAACATTAAGCGTAGCTTCAACCAGCAGCCAGTCAGCCAGACAAACAAAAACACCTCATTGCTATCATTACGAGCTGTTTCCCTTGTGACTTTGTCTCTTTCCTGTTAATATAACACGTTGTTAAAACAATTTGTCTCTTTGGTTATGTACCTAAATAGCACAGCCAGCCTAGTGCGTCCGTCCACCTGCAAACTCAAGTCTTTGTGCTAAGTTAGTCTAACATTACGATTACAGACCAGAATTATACCAACCTTTTCATACAACTCTCAGCTAAGCAGTGTATATTTACCATGACATGAAAGGTTTCAGAGTTTAGTGGACTTTCTACGTGGGCAGTGAAGCTCCATTAAACAGTTTTTTTTTTTTTTAAAGCCAGTCATGAAAGCTCTTTTATTACTTTATGCAAACTCTCAAACTGAGCTATCTGAACATGCAGACAGGAAAAATGAGGAAACAGCTTGCTCTGTGTCGCCTGTAGATAGAAGAGTGGTGTCAATTTTTCTCGTCTTATCAGGGCAAAGAAATGGCAAATATAGTATGACTGAACGTGTCAAACATTTCTATTCAGATGTAAGTGGATTCTCTATGTGGGCAGTAGATTAAGGTTTGCAGTCAGAAAAAGGCTACCATGATACCATTAGCTTTACGCTGAATATGGCGCTAGAGCCAGCAGGTTATCTGAGATACTCTACATAAGAGAAAGACAGAAACAAGCCAGCTTTGGTGTAATGACTGAGGAATAGCCATGGACCCTTATAGTACCAATAAGTGTTTAATTAATACTATGTTTTTGCAAGGATTAAATAAATGAGACAGATGTTTTCATGAACTTGAGGTGAACTTTGTTACTTGAGCGACAGAACCAATCAGGGCTGTGCGGTTTATCGCAAAAATGTATTAAAGTTTGGAGTCGTGAACCAGGCGGACTGACTGACCGCACCCCATTTGCCCCCGAAGGACATATTGTACTGTTGCTTTGTTTGAAGTTCTAACTGTATTACATTGCTTTTTGCCTACACAGTTATGAGAGTCAGCACCCGAGGTGTGAATGTACACTGATCAAAACTGAAAGCTTTCATGTGCTTGAGATTGAAGCTCTTGCATTTGTGGTTTTTGAGTCTTTCACCTGTATATTAACTGTCCTGGTTTCATTGCAAACGTTGCTCCCTTCCAGTGTCTCTCTTTCCGTAGCCTACTTTTCCTCCTCTTGTTCACGTACAGAACTGTTGAGTTACGGAGGCCTTGGTGACTCAGCTGCTTGCTAATTTCTGAGCGCACATCAAATGCAACCCAGTTTGATGCTCTACATGAAGAAAAAAAAAAAAACAGACAGACTCATTTAAGTGGAAAACGTCGACAAGCAGATTACACAGCCACATTTAATTCAGTAAAATTGCTGCCTCTGTGGGGGCTTTCCATAGATGTAGTCCCTCAAAGTCCATTGCAGTAATTTGTCCTATAGGGAGTTTTTTCCAGATAGGGTAGGCTATATATCAACTTTCCATGCAGCGGTGCAGGAATGTCCTACTCTGCTGTTTCTCCACGTTCTGTGCTACTTGACATTATAGCCTGTTGGAAGCCTTTGAGCTGCTCTGCGCTCGGGTTGTTTTGTGATTTTCTTCTTTGTAGTAAAAAATACAAAGATGCTTCTTCTCTCTCTCTTTTTTTTTTTTTCTTACAACATGCTGCAGAAGTTGTTGATCTTTGTGTGCGATACAGGCAGGCTCTCTGTAGGGAACAACTCAGACTTAAAATAGCTTAATTTCAAACGGCAGTCTTCCCTGACCCAGCCGCTGGCACAGATATCCCCCTCAGTGTTAAAGAAAAGAGAACAGTCCCATTAGTATGCAAGGTGCCGTCACAGCTCCCGAGGTCTGATAGAGGATCAGAGGATCAGCTCCTTTTACAGTCTGCTGAATGCTTGACCTTACTTTTTAAGGAAAGCCACACAAGACCCCCCCACACACACACACACACACACACACACTCCCCCTTCCCTGCACACAAACACACACACCTCTGTCACTCTGTTCAGTTATGTTTGAAATGTAGTTTTGGTGACTCATCGAGGTCAATCAATGTTTCAGTGAGTGCAGTCCTTTTTTTTCATGTTTTGTGTTTCTCCACCAGCAGAGAGATTGATTTGAAAGTCTGGAAGCCGTAGCCATTTTGGCTTTTGTTTCCTCGATATCAGTACGGTCGCTTAATTAAACGTCCTCTGGCTTTGTGTTTTGTGTTATTTGTGGGATAAATTGACAATGGAGAACTTCCTTTATATGGCTGGTGAGGAATGTGCTGGCTCCATGTGGCGGAAAGAAATGACCTGACAGGGGATTCAAAATCATTCATTTTACTTTCAATATTGAAGCTCCAATACATGACGTATTTACAGAAGTATGTTATTGGTGTGTGTGTGTGTGTGTGTGTGGGGGGGGGGTTATTCAAATGTCGTTTAACTTGTATGTGTTGATACAGGTAGCTAGTGGAACATAAACTAAGCTTGTGAATATAAACTCTGGTTTTGCTTGTTGTTGTTTTAATGGAACTGGAGAATATTAACAGTTTTGCTTGGTGCCTGGGATGAGCCAAAATGGCCGCCTAACTTGGGGTTTCATGCAAGCGGCAACCCCCGTTGTTGAAAAATGAATCCGACGCGCAAGTGCAAAATCCTGCCGTTTCTTTAGTGTCCACTTGAGGCTGGTTGCAGACACACCCATTGCATGTGAAATGGGAAAGTTTCAAGATTTGATATTTGTCACATGCTCGTGCAGATTTGCAGGGAAATGCAACAACTGCACTGCAACGCCATGCACTCAAACACTCCATCATTACTCTAAAATGTGCTGCTTATTAAAAAGAAATCTTATATGATATCAAATATTTATGAATCCTGGTATTTTGAAGGGCCAACAAGGAATCCTGAAACCTTTTGGTAGCTCATTGTTTCTCAGAAATACATAATAACGGAGAAATTGATTACTATCGTTTATCCTCTTTGAAAATATGAATACGTTTCAGCCCTTCTTAGTTTGATGGAAGGAACACCGTTATAACGACTATAATACTGCAGTATCGAATGCAGTTTATTTGACTCTGACACAGTGCTTCAGAGAGTATAGCTCACTGTGCTGCATATAGAGGAGCAGCATAGCACATCTTACATAGTATATATTTATAGCTGCAACACGGAGGATTCATTTTATACCATTTCCAGCCTATAAATACGGCTTTAAAGCTGCTCTCTGAACCTCCAGTGTGTCATTTTCCTCAGTGAGATTATAGATTTTTATGGTTTTAAATTGTTCTCTTTGTAACCTAATTAACACGTTCCTCTCCCCGCCTTCCAACACATCATAACTGTTTTTTAATCACTGTTATCTTACCAGGAGCACTTTTTTTCTCTTCCGCTTCCATATTACTCTCATTCATAATGTAGAGTTAGCTGTCTAATGAGATTGTGCGCTCGACTCAGAGACAAACTGTCTGGGTCCTAATGGTGCTACAGTTCACCGAGCGGCGGGTTGACCCATTTAGATGTTAACGCTCGATACTGCACCAAACTCTGCTGGAGAGAGAGAGAGAGTATAAGCCATTATGAAAACATGCAGCTATGTTACAGCTCACTCTGACTTACACATGTAGCTCCCCTTTACCTTTATGAAAACAATAATCCAACATGTTTTGTCTTATGGATCAAAAGTAAGAAAGTCAGAATCATCTGGGTTCATTGACATTATGTTTTAGTGCTGCGCCCAAATGTTGTTTACAATATCCAAATCGACGCACATCAGAGAGTAAGAACAACACAAGCAAGGATCTTGAGGGGAGGAAACAAACAGCTTGAAGTCAGATCGGACACTCAGGTGCTGACAGGAAGCGACCAGAGGCAAAGCACGACATCGACAGCCGT